GTGACACTGTGTGACAAAGTCGACTTAGACTAAACTCTGTGCCTCAGTTTCCTCATCTGCAAAATGAGGCTAATGACAGTACCTACCTCATACAGCTGGGAGAATCAAATAAGAATACAAAAAATAAAAAGTTGGACCACATGAGCTTTGCCAGTCTTCAAGCACTGTATACATACTACTTGTTGTTTGCTGTCATTCCAGGCCTGCATGTTGTGATCCTATGAGTTAGGTGGTATAAGTATTATTTTCTCCATTTGACAGAGAAGAAAACTGAGGCTCTGAGAGGCCAACTGAACCCAAATCTCTTGATTCCAAGTATAACATTTTTCACTACAACACACTTTAAATGAGACATCAAATTTCAGAAAGAATTCTGGAACAGAACAAAAATTTCTCCCTATGACCTGCCCCTCCAGTTGTTATCTAGCCTCTGCTTGAAGACCTTGATGAGGGGAAAACCTGAGGCCCATATCACTTCTGGACAGCTCTGATGGCTAGGAAATGTTTGTCCTTCAGTCAAACCTAATTCTGCTTCTTTTCAACTTCTCCCCATAGTTCCTAGTTCTGTCCTCTGGCTAAACAGAGCAAGTGATAGCCCTTCAAAGTCTTGAATACAGGGAGGTGTCACAGCGGATGGAGTGCTTGGACCTGGAGTAACAAAGACCGAAGTTCAAATCCAGACTCACACACTTACTAGCTGTGTGACCCTGGACAAGTCACCTAACTTTTGTCTGCCTCAGTTGCCTCATTTATAAAAAAGGGGATAATAATAGCAGCTTCTTCCCTCCCCTCCCCCTACAGTTGGTCCTTCCCTTCCCCCTCCAGATGGCAACCAATTTCATATAGGTTATACACGTTCAATCATGCAAAACATATTTCCATATTAGTCCTGTTGTGAAAGAGAATACAGATCATAAAAAACATGAAAAAATAAAGTGAAAAAAAAATAATTGCAGCTTCTTCTCAGTTTTTTTTTGTGGGGATCAAATGAGAGAATATTTATAAAGTACTTTATATTGCTTTGTTATGGGAATTTTTAATTTCCTTTTACTACTTGGGACTCAGGGCCATTTCTCTTGCAAATTTTGGTTAATTAAAAGTCTGTTTCAATATTAACCTCACCTGAACAAAAGCTATCCCATGGGATGTAAAAATTTGCCTAAGAATCTTAAGCATCCCTTAGCTAAGAAGCCAGAAGAAGAATCTCAACTCTCCCTGACTCCTTGGTAACATATAAATCCTCTTCCTTCTCAGTCTATTTGTGAATCCTCTGAATGTAGTTTAGTCTGTAACCTGACTTAGTTTACCTGTGGAGTTTATTTGGTAAGGTTTGTTTCCTTGGGGAATGTATGAGATTATGACTTTGTTTACCTTTTATGACATTGAAGGAAGTATAGAATTATGGGTCTATCTTCTCTTTAACTTCTATGGCCCAAGAGGAATATACAAGATTGCAATACGTGAAAGAATTATTTCTCTGTCATTTTGATGTAATTTTGCCTATAGGAAGCCTTGGTAGAATCCTAACGATCTAGTTTTCTCCAAGGCCTGAACCTACGCTTCAGCATAATAATAAAACCTAGGTTTTTACTTCCATAATTTCTACATTGTGGTAAATGTGTAGTTGAAAGCATGTACCTACCATTTGCACTCAGAGAGGAGATATTTCTCCCATAACAGCTTAAGTCATTATATAAATGCTACTTATTATTATTAAAGCCTCTTTTCTCCAGGCTAAATAAACAACCTCAATTCCTAAATGAGCCTCTTTACGTGTGATTTTGAGACCTTTCATTCTGCCAATCACCTCTGGCTCTCCAGAGGATCTCTCATATTCATCTCTGGACATCTTCCAGTTTATCAATATCATTCCCCAAATGTTCTTCCTAGAATTGAACCTGATACTACAGATATCATCTGACCCAGTAGCTTGCACAGCCACCTCCCTATTCCTAGACACCATGCCTCTCAATATATCAATGAGGTAGACCGATGCCTGGTGTTATTACACAAAAATAAAAGGTTCAATAACACTCAAAATAGAGATACCTTCATGGTACCACCATGGAGACTAAAATCACCAGTTTGAAGGCCACCTAGTAGAGTCCTCGGCAGCCAAGTGTGGTCCTGGAACACTCTTTGAGATCATGCCAAATCTTCAAAGCTGGAGGTTGATAAATGTCAATTTGTGCCCTGTGCTAATTTTAGAAGAGCTGTTCCCAATGTTAATGAGGAGCCTGCTTTATTCCTTACCTAATTTTGCTTGCTGGTCAGTGTCAGCAACACAGGCAGGGCATTCTATGGGAAATGGAACCTCCCGATGAATGAACACAGTGGGGATATGAATTATTATGAAGGCACACGATGTTCCTTATCTGCTCCTCTTTTCCTCCACCTCCCCCCTTCCACGTCTTTTATTTTTCCCTGTTCTCTCTCTCTCTCTTCTCTCTCTCTCTCTCTCTCTCTCTCTCTCTCTCTCTCTCTCTCTCTCTCTCAGACAGTCTCTGGTCTTAAACGATTCCTCCAACCCCAAAACCTCAGTCTTATTTGATTTGTATTCAATACTGACAATCAAGTAAGCTTAACCTATTGCTTAGAACAAGTTTTTGCCCCTCTGCTTTATAGCCTGTATCAAGCAGGAAGGCTTGGGTGCCTGTGGAGCTGGTCAGAACTGGTCAGCGAATATAATGAAAGAGCTTAGAGTTGGGGAGAGCTTAGAGAAGAGGACAGCTAATGCCATCAGGCAGGAGGCTCAGTGTTCTGAGCTGGCTGATGGCACCCAGCTTGGTAAGCAGTAACACTGCCCTGCTTCCTTCTGCCTGAAAGCTAGGCCCTGGGCAGTGATAGCAGCAAGCAAAAATATGTCATTTTTTTTTTAGGTGGGGAGATCAAATCCAGCCCATAACCTCACACAGTTAGGTGCTAGGCACTTAGCAATGCTTTCCAAGGATGAAAATGATTCTTGGCTTTCTGTCTCTACACACACACACACACACACACACACACACAACACACACACACACATCCCTTAGTGGACTAGTCTTATGATACTTCACCCTCACACTCACCTCCCCCCAGTAGAACATAAACTCCTTAAAGGCCAGGACCATTTCATTCTTGTCTTTATGACAAATGTTGAACATAGTACCTTGCACATAGTAAGGATTCAATAACAAGCTTACCTGTGTGACATGATTTCTGTAAACTGGAAAGATAAACCTATTCTTTTACATTCCACCAAAAACTAAGCCAATACTTTTTTTTTACCATTGGAGTTTCATTTCTTTGACTTAAAACTCTATCATAGAGTCATAGAATTTAGAATCAGATGGGAGCATAGATCACTTTAGTCCAACCCCATCCCCCAATTTTCCTGAGGCCCAGGTTATATGCTTAAGGTCATACAGCTTGTAAACGACTGTGGACAAATATCTTTGGAAGAACTAATGGCCAGCTTTTTGTACATATCAGTCACGCGCACACATGCATTCAAGTGAAAGAGTTTAGCAGATTTTCCTGAGCAGAATTCAGAGGTCAAAGTAGTGACTGAGCACGAGGTCAGTAGATGCTGGCAGGTCGTAGAAGTGATTAGGGGTAAAGAAAACAAACTGCCAACCACACCATTTGGCCCAAGGCTGACACTCTCTCTGGTACTTCCCTACAAGTGATATTTCAAATTTTTCTATCTTTCCAAACTTTGAATGTCCTTGAATAACTTCCTAAGAACAAACAGATTCACAGACCTGAAGGTGCACTCAGTCAGGAGGTGGTTAATGGAAAGTGACACTAGTATTCCCCAGACTGGGCGCCTCACTTGGGTGGGGGTGGGTCTCCCCTCTTGCTACCTGCCACAGAACGTCATGCAGCAGAGACTAAACAGTGCTGGAGGAAACTAAGTTAGGGAGGAGAAAGGCCTTTTTACCCTCCCTGGCCCTCCATGGCACAACATAGGCCAAACCACGTTTGAGGGGAAACCTCCAGAGCTGATGATTCCTCAGCATTCTCCAAACATTTGTGTGGACACTGACCCTACTTCTCAGCTGAGGACACCGAGTCTTTTTGAAGTGAATTGATTGGCCCACAAGCATAGTCCACACCTTCGATCTGTTCACCGTCTCATCCACTTGGTTCTGGCAGCCCACTCATTCTCTAGTCACTTGGTTACATACATATGAAATTCTTCCTGAAAATCCAAGCTATCCCTATATATTATCCCCCTACATGGTGGTTCTGCACATACACACATACATATCTACATATATCTATATCTATATATATCTACATCTATATCTATATCTATATCTATATCTATATCTATATCTATATCTATATCTATATCTATATCTATATCTATATCTATATCTATATCTACATCTATCCTTCAAGGATTTCACAGACCAATAGAAGGAATCTCAGTAAGGATAGCTTTTAAACACAGTATTACATGACACTTGCCTTATAGGGGTACTAAACAAAATACTCCCTGTGTGCCAAGGGGTAAAGTCTTTGGAGATAGGAGCAAAATTGAAGACATCATAGGAGAGGAGAACAGAGTCGGGTTTTAAACAATGAATAAAAATTCAACAGGCAAAAGGGGAGACATTTCAAACATGGGGAACAGCGTGAAAGCCAAGGTGCCGAAGCCTGAGAGCTCAGTTTGTCTCTGGGAGTTGTCCACTTTGGCTGGAGCACAGAATTCTCCCAGGGGAGAAATATGAGATAAGAAAAGAAAGAGGATGGCTTGATGTTGGACAAGGTCTTCAATATCAGGCAGAAGATCTTGACCTTTATCACCAGGTAGAGTGAGCCTAGCTTCCTAGGCTTATTCTCCTACCTACCCCTAAGGCCACTGACTGGGAGGAGCCAGTGAAGGCCTGAATCCTTACGGTGACAACAGTTTTCCTGTCTTAAGTCCCAGAGCTGTGACTGTCTATGGCTCTTTAGCTTTCTCCTGAACCTTCCCTTGATGTGGGTCCCCTGCTCAGGCTCCCACGTTTCCCTCAAATCCGGTAATTCATCATAAATCTAAGGGCCACGAATGGCACGGGCAGAGGGAGGGGGAACAAGGGTGAGGGGGATGGGCGGGTGCTGGGTGGGGGGCGGCCCTGGGCAGGAGCAGCAGCGGTGGCGGCGGCTGCGATGGCAGCAGAGGCGGCGGCTCCGGCTCTGCAGTAAACAAGACACGGGGATGCTGCCGTGCCGCCGTTGCAGGTGTCTCTAGGCATTGTGGGAGCGCCGCTTCCTCTCTCTCCCCTCCGTTCCCCCGGCCATACGGCCCGCACCTGCTGCAACCAGACCCCGCCGTGCCCCTGCCCCGGCTCCTCCAGGAGCCAGAGGTGGCTGGCAGGGCCCCGGACTCCCCCCTCCGTCCCCCCGCCACCTCTCAGCCGAGGGGCCGCGTGCGCCCTGGCCCTTCGGGGCTCGCCTGAGGCCCAGATGTGGCCACAGGGCTGAAGGGGAGGGAGGGGCTGGAGCCGGCCCGGACGGACATCTGGGGGAGAGAGAGGGAGAATCGCGGGGCCAGAACCCGCAGGGCCCTGACATCCAGTCCCGCACACCTCCGTGCGCCCCCGCGGGCGCTGTGCCCTGGGGATGCTGGAAAACAGGAAGGGGACTGCTGGGGTGGTCTTGCCCCAGCTTGTACCTCCAGCTACCGGTCCCCATCCCCATCCTCATCCCCATCCCCATCCCCATCTCCATCATCCCCATCCCCATCCCCGACCCCATCCTTATTGATCCTTGCCCCTGTTTTCGTCCTGAAGCCAAGCATCCCTCCGCCCCCCACCCCGGGGTGCGCAGCCCTTGGCACCGCTTACCTGGTGTCTGGAGCTGCCCAGGTAGCCACTGGGTCTGCGGCAGGTCCAGGGGAGGGGCCCACGGTTGCGGCGGGGGCCCGGGCCGGAGCCAGGCCGGGGCTGGGGCCGGGGCTCAGGATGCTCTGGCTCCGGCTCCGCTCCGCCGGCTGCTCGGGGCCCCGCCTTCGCCCCCGCCCCCCTTCGCCTCCCCCTTCTCCTCCTCCTGCCTCAGCCGCCACTGCCTCTGTATGTGTCACACAAAGAGCAGGAAATGGCCCCGGCGACCGGGTTCTCCCCCAAGTGGCGGCGATCCTCTCACCTGGTCCGGCTCTAAATCGCTCCCATCGTCCGGCCAGGGCTCTGCCCCCATCCCCCAGGCCCGGCCCTGGGGGCCTGACAGAGCAGGAGGCGGGGTCTGGGACGGGATTGTGCACTGAAAATCTCTCCTAGGGAAGGGACCGCGCAGCGCTGGAGCAAAGGGAGGGAGGGGAAGGAGCGGCGTGAGAACAACATCTGAGGAGGTTCAAGTCCATGTACCTCAAGGGCTCATTTCGGCTGAACCCAGGCCCAAGTGCTCCATCTTTTGAGCAGAACTGCACCTGCGTATCAAACATATCAGGTCCGTCTTAGGAGACTGGCAGCTTTTACGAGGTTGTTGTGTACCCCACCCTCCCTTCATGCACATATACTGGTCTATATATACAGAATTCTTACTACTTTAGTGATTCTGATTCTGGCATTCAAGGCCTTCCACAACCCAGCTCTAATCTACCTTTCGAGCCTGATCTCATACTATCTTCTGTTCCATTTTTTTAAAATTTTAGGCAGTTGGGGTTAAGTGACTTGCCCAGGGTCATACAGCTAGTGTCAAGTCTGAGGCTGGATTTGAACTCAGATCCTCATGACTTCAGGGCCCGTACTCTATCCACTATGCCACCTCACTGCCCCCGTTCCAGTATTCTACACTGCTTTTTTATTGAGTAATCGCTATCCTCCCTATTTTCTTCCCTCCTTTTCCCATCTTACATCACCCCTCCCAGATCATCTCCCAATGCCTGGAGTAGGCACAGTACGGTAGAAAGAACACTGACTCTGGAGTCAGAGGACCTGGGTTCGAGTCCTTCAGATGTTTACTACTTGACTGTCATCTAATCTTCCTGGACCTCAGTTTCCTTTTCTGTAAAATTACTAGATGGCTTCTGAGGGCTCTAGTTCTATGATCCTTTCATATCTCCCTGTGATAAAGTCCCTTCCTTCTAGGCTTAAGTCAGGTACTATCTTATCCATAAAGCCTTCCTTGGTCATTCAACCATTTAACCACAAACACTCTCTAACCCATATCTCTTAACCTTGTCCACTAGGGAGGCGTGACAGACTGTCAAACACTTTGTTAAAATGTAGGTATGCTATGAATTTCTAATGCCTAGCATAAGATCTTGTCTCGAATGTAGATGTTTAACAAAGGTTTATTGAATTGGGAATAATCATAATACCTGGTTTGAGAGTCATAGTTCTTTCCTTATTGAGTAATAGGCCAATCCTGGGACATAAATCATAGGATTATACACTTACATCTGGAAGGGAGTTCAGAAGCCATCAAGCCCAACTGCCTGGTTTTACAGTGGTGGAAACTGAAGTCCCTAGAAGTTAAATGACTTGCCCAAGACCACACAGATAGTAGAGTCAGAATTCGAATCCAGGTCATCTGACTCTATCCATTGCGCCATGCTGCCCTACTTTAACTGTTCTGGTCCCTGGGGGAGGAGGGAAGAAGGAGATATAGGAAGTGTTCAGGAGTTAGGAGCTCTAATTTACCTTTCCAGCTTTATCTCACACCAATGTACTCCCTTGGCTTCTTTGGTCTTCAGTTTTCTCCTCTCTAAAAGGAAAAGTTTAGACTAGGTTATTTCAAAGGTTTCCTCCAGCTCTAATGTTCTACTTCAGTGCCCTCAAAAGCATCATGAGATAAGGTACTCTCTTTCCTAAATATTTCTTTTTAAATAAAATAAATTTTATTGTTATCTTTTGTTTTCACATCATCTGTATTTTCCAATATATCACTCCTCTTTTCTACCTCCTAGAGAACCATCCCCTATAACAAAGAATAAAAAAGAGGGGGAAAATTTTGCCCAGTGTATTAGAAAAACCCTGACATTGTATTCAGTTCTGAAACTATAGTCCCTTGCCACTATAAAGAAGTGTGTGTGTGTGTGTGTGTGTGTGTGTGTGTGTGTGCAGCAATTATTTAAATATTTCTTGAAAAAGCTGAGAAGGTCCTATAAATAGTCATTTAAAGTATAATACACTATTTTCTACATGGTACATTTCTTCTCAGTCTAAAAAAAATCATCCTAAAAACAGCCTCCCTTGTCAATGGAAACTGTACATTATTAAAGAAAACTTAACTTAAGGAACTGAATATCTGTGGTTATAGCAGTTCAATAGCCAACTGTAGACTTCTATAGACTCTACTTTGCCCATCATCTTTTGTGACTTAGGGCTATCTGATGCCACCCTACTAGCTAGGTTCTCTGCTGCCTCCTCCCTCCTCCCTTCTACCACCCCCCTATCCTCACCCAAGCCAGAAGGAGGTTAAGGCTTTGCACAAAATGAGGGTGAGTGTGGGAGTATTTTTATTTATAGTCTAATGTGTGAATCTATGTGTGCATTCCAAAACCAAGTGTCTGTGGTTCTTAGAATTTCCCTGACTCTATTCTGGGGTGCCCTTACATAATTTCCCATTACCGTGTTTTATAATTACTGATTGAGGAATAGCTTTCAAACTTTTTGATCACACAACATTTTATCAAGTATTGACATTTGTAACCACAGAAATGCAGATTCTCCAGGGGCTCAGGTAGTTACTATAAATAGCACCCAGTTTTCTGAGGGTCATAGAATCATAGATTTAATGCTAGAAGGAACTTTAGAGAGTATTTAGACCAACTCCCTCATTTTACTCATTAAAAGTAAATGTTTTATTGATGCCGCCATCATTTCTGGAAATACTAACCCCATCACCAATACAGTGAACAAGTCTGATGAGGCATACACCTTTCCCCACCCCAGCTCCCAGGAGGGAGAGATGCTTTATTGTCTTCTCTGGCATCATCACTGGTCTTTCAGTTTCAGGGTCTGGCTTCTTCTAGTGATCTCATTTGCTTTGTTGTAATCATTGTGTTTATTGTTATTTTGGTTCCCCTTCATTCACTCTGTATCATTTCAAACACATCTTCCCATGTTTCTGTGAATCAGTCATTTCTTATCGCGCAATAATAGTCTTTCATATTTTTAGATCACAGTGGGCTTTTTGGCCATTCTCCCCAGTTGACAGCCACACCCTTTGCTCCTGGTTCTAAGCCTGTTACCATGCTTATTTTGATGTATTGGCCTTTTGTTTCTATCTTTGATCCCTCATTTTATAAATAAAGAAACTAAAATGCAGAGAGATCATAGGATCAGAAGTCTAAAACCAGAAAGCACCATAGGATTATCTACACCTGAGAAGCCATCTAGTTCAATCCCTTCACTTTACAGGTAAGGAAACCGAGGCTCATGGAGCTTAAATAACTTGCCTGAGGTCACATAGGCAGAGCTGGAATTCAAACCTAGATCATTTTGCTTTGGTTGAAATTCTAGCAATAAAGTTAACTTAAAGAGTACGCCTTCCCCACCCCCACCCCCTGTTCCTATTCTGGCTGAGCAGCTCACACAGACACCAGCTTATAAAATGCTACCTGAAGGTCCCTGTGGATCACCAATACTCCAGGGACCACTGCCTTAGAGTGGCTTAACAAACAGCATTCATCCTTGGAAATCCTAGTTTCTCTCCTCAATGAGAACAAAATTCATCTCCTTAAAAGACAACAGAGGGGGAGAGGGTCCCAATGTCATTGGCAACAAAGCACAACATCAAAAAGGTAGACTGATGAGCAACCAAGCCTGTAGGGAACCAATTAATGGAAACAGGTGACAAAAGAATCCATGGGCAATGATTCCCCCCCCCCCCCCCCCCCCCCCCCCCCCCGCCACTTCTGACCAGAAAGTGAGTTCAAAGATGGGTTCAAATACCACCTCTGCCACTTGCTAATGACGTGACCAAAGGCAAGTCCTTTAATTTCTCTGAACCTCATTTATAAAAGAGAAAGAGAAAGAGAGAGGGGGGGGAGGAAGAGAGAGAGAGAGAGAGTTGGATTAGATGATCTGAGGATGACACAATTGAGAGCTAGAAAGGGACCGTAAAGACTCCCTAGTCCAAAGCCCTCATTTTAAAGTTTAGGAAACAGAGGCCCAGAATGGTTAATAGATTTGCTTATGATCACACAAGTAGTGAGTGGCAGAGGTACTAGGTCCTCTGAATGTAGAGCCAGATCTTTTTCCATTGTGCCAGACTGGTAAGAAAGCCCCACAATTCCAGATGGGGCTTTCAGAAAGGCAAATTTTGATGATAGTTACCTTAGGAACCTTCTCAATGACTTTGGTGTGTACAGGATTGGGTTTAGGTCTAGAAGTTTTTAGGCTTTGAGTTGCCACTAATTAGTTACGTAATGTTGGCAAGTCCTTTACTCTTTCTGAGCCTTGGTTTCCCTGGTTATTAAAGGAGAATAGGATATTCTATCTCCTCCTTTCCCCCTCACAGATGTCCTGGTTTTCTTCAAAGCACCAGCACAGGTGTCCCTCTTAGGGGAAGTCCTTTCATACTCCCCTCAAATGTTAATTCTCTCTCTCTCTCTCTCTCTCTCTCTCTCTCTCTCTCTCTCTCTCTCTCTCTCTCTCTCTCTCCTCCCTCCCTCCTCCCTCCTCCCTCCCTCCCTCCTCTCCTCTCCTCTCTCTCTCTCTCTCTCTCTCTCTCTCTCTCTCTCTCTCTCTCTCTCTCTCTCTCTCTCTCTCTCCTGAAATTTCTTTGTATGTATCTTGTAGTTATTTATGTATGTACATGTTGTACACCTCCCCCTCTCCTCCGTGTAGAATGCAAGCTACTTGAGGGCAGGAACTGTTTTGTCTTTTCTTTTTTTGTATTCTCATGATTTAGTACAGTGCCTGAGATGTCATAGGTGCTTAATAAATGCTTGTTGAATTGAATTGAAAATAATACCCACCCTTATGGCCTTACAGGGTTGGTAAGGAAGAAGCATTGGAAAGATATGTGCAGTACCTTACCAATATAAAAGATTATTAATTTTGTAGAGGGAGACATTTATGCAATTTATGCAATTCTGCCCCAGAATTCAGAGCTACCCACATGGTAATTTTTTTTTTATATGAGGCAATTGGGGTTAAGTGACCAGAGTCACACAGCTAGTGAGTATTATGTGTCTGAGGCCAGATTTGAACTCAGGTCATCCTGACTCCAGGGCTGGTGCTTTATCCACTGCATCACCTAGCTGCCCCTACATGGTCATTTTTTGACACAGGAATGTTTATAGGCTGGCTATACCTTAGGCTAGACCCAGAAAGGACTTACAGAAATTCTGGCCCTCATAGAGTTTCCATTATCATCACACACCTAGAATGTGTGATCCTTTGGGTTGGATGATACATCACTGTTTCTAGGATTCCAATTTTAAATGCTATTTCAGAAGGATTTTTTTTTAAGTGCAATGTGAGAAAGATG